AAGTTGTGAGCGAGCAATGTGGCTACTGCATAAATTATTTGGCTCTGGAGCCCTCCTTCCTGAGCAAAGACAAAAATGTGTGAGCCAGAGGCTAAAAAACTGTGAGTTAGCTCACACTAACTCAGCTTAGAGGGAACACTGGTCAGGATTAAATTTCATATTATCAGCACACATCTACCTCAGAACTGTCTCCAGACACCGGTTGACTGTTTCCACAGCCTCTCTGGGTCTGGAAGTACAAGACGGAGCTGAGTATCATGCACATATTGGTGACAACCCAGCCCAAATCTCCAGATAATCTCCTAGCAGATTGTTAAAAAGCATGGGGGACAAGATGGAACCTTGTGGGACCTCATAAGCCAGAAGTGAAGGAGCCAAACAGCAGTTCCTCAGCACCACAGTCTGGAATCTACGTTCCAGGTAGGACCAAAATTATCACAGAATGGTTCTTCACAATCCTGAGAGGTGGTCCAGAAGAATATCATGACTGCTGGAGTTGAAAGCCACTGAGAGATTCAAGATCAACAGGGTTGTTCTTCTCCATCCACCTTCTGGCACAGTTCATCCACCAGGGTGACCAAGGCTGTTTCACTCATAGCCAGGCTTGAAACCCAACTGGAAAGGATCCAAACAATCTGCTTCATACTGGAATTCTTGGCGCTGTTCAGCCACCACATAAAATCGTCTTGCTCAAAAATAGTACATTTGAGACTGGATGATAATTATTCAAACCTCCTTGGTCCAGAGTAGATTCCTCTAGGAGTGGACACACCACTGTCTGTGTCAAGGCAGAGGTGAGCATTCCCTCTCACATTCCCTCTCTCAGACCCAGGATCATGACACAGAGCCAGAAAATGGCAAACCACCTCTGAACGTGTCTTGCCTTGAAAACCCTATGTGGTTGCCATAAGTCAGCTGTGATTTGATGGCATTTTCCACCACCACATATGACATGTGGCGACATGTTGTGCAAGCTGAATCTATCCAAGTTGGCAGCCACTGGCCCTCAGACTTGGCAGGCTAGTGCCAGTGTTCCCTCTAAGCTGAGAGTGTGAGCTAGCTCACAGGGGTTTTTTTTTAGCCCCTGGCTCACACCGCCTTTCCCCATATGTTCTCCAGAGAGCACTGCGTTCAGGGGCTCAAAACCGGCTGGCCCTCCCAGGTCCTAAAGAAGCCAGGCTGGGGACAACCAGGGACAGGGCCTTCTGAGTAGCAGCTCCGCACTGGTGGAATGAGCTCCCGGAAGAGATCAGGGCCCTGTGGGACCTTTTACAGTTCTGCAGGGCCTGCAAGACGGAGCTCTTCCACCAGGCTTTCAATTAGGAGCCGCGTGAGACATCCGAGAAGAGACCCTGTGGCCTTGGCTTTACCATCTCTAGCCCGCCTCGCTAGGTAAATAAATAGATCAACGGAACATGTGGGAACATCATTATGACTGTCACCTGTGGAGTATGGGTCAATCTGAAATTTCTGCTCGTGCACTTTATTTGAAAACTGTACCAGCACTTTAGGATAGTGATTTATGGATTTTAGGATAACCAATCTGTTTTGGTTGATTAGTTATGATGAATTTTATGATGGATTTTAATGGTATTTTATGCACTGTGCAAGCCGCCCTGAGCCTTCCTTGATAGGAAGGGCGGGGTATAAATCGAATAAAATAAATAAAAAAATTTTTTGTCTTTGCTCAGGAAGGATGGCTCCAGAGCAAACTAATTTGCACAGTAGCCAAATCACTCGCTCACAACTGTAATGCCAGTAGCTCACAACGTAGAATTTTTGCTCACAAGGCTCCGCAGCTTAGAGGGGCAACCTCAGTTGTGCACTCCCAGTAACAGCAGTCATGGGCAGAGCAGACTTAGAGCTCCTGGGGCTTTCCCCGGTCTTTCATTACCCTCTTAATGCCCCCAGTGTTCCCATCGAGGTGGGGGTTTCCAGCTTGCCCAGGAAGCTTACGGTACATGCAGAGCAGCAGGCCTAAACCTCTCTTCCCTTTCCTCTCTCTCACCTTCCTTGAGATAAGAACAGCGGCTCTGACTTGCCAGGGGACTTCCTGGGTAGAACACAGCAGTGGGGTTCCTCTCCTTTCTACCCCATGGCCGTTTTCATGCCAGAAGACTTTAATCTGGGGAAGGGAAACTATTAACAATGATCTCAGCTCTGCTGAGTAGGTCGCAGCGGCACAGGTTCTTTTCAGGATTCTAGTGACAGCAAGACTAATCACACACACAACTGATTCAATTTATGGACCAAACTGCCTTATTAAGCACAGTAGCACACTACACGAACAGGAACAAATAATCAAGTAAATGCATACCTAATAAATCATATTACCTCATATATGGTAATCAAGGATACCAACAGAAACTACTTGGTGGCTAGCTGTTGAGGAGTAGAGAGCATATTTCAGGGACAGCGAGGAGGAAACCTACCTATGATCCTGCACAGTTTTGCTCCCTTAGTATTGTAGCTGGAGCATAGAAACAACCTTGGTTTTTAAGGATGGTTTCTCTCTGGATTTCTTATCACAGATATACCATCTTCCTGCACGCATCTCTTCCATTAATGTTCTGACCACATCTTGTCTCAGCCATGCTTACTTTCACATGTGCGTGTGAAGCAAAAGCATAAGCAAGGTTTTGGCACTTCCTAACTGCTCCTGTTCCAGCTTCCTCCTGACCATCTTTGCATGTTGCCTCAAGGAGCAGTCTCTCTTCTATTTATACCTTTGGGTAGCTGCTCCTCAATTTTCCTGACATTCATGCAGAGGGACCTCCAAGAATGAACTTCTGCAGTTTAACCACAAATTGGTTAACTTGTTTCCAGATACTCCCCAGAAGGTCTTTTTAGTAACTTGTTCTGTCCAGTTGCTGGCCAGTTTAACCACAAATTGCTTAACTTGTTTCCAGATACTCCCCAGAAGGTCTTTTTAGTAACTTGTTCTGTCCACTTTAACCACAGTTTAGCACATCTTCCCAGTCTGAAGGCCTCTTTTCTATTTGGACATCTTCCTTTTTCTCAGTGATAGCATTGGAGCTTTTCTTTCTTTGCCCAAGTTTGAACTTGGTTCTGGGGTGGGGAGTTCTTAGACCCTACCGTACAAGGGTAGCATGTTGCAAAACCTCACAGTAGAAAAGGACATGAATAAAGGACATCTTCTCCCAGGTACTGGCATACACAATGTTGTTTTACAGTGGGCGGGGATGTTCCCGGTGCAATGACATCACGGTGATGTCATTGCATTGGCAACATTGGGATGACACTCTGGTTTTGGAGCAAAACCCTTTGGTAAAATCGGGGTCAAACCATAGAGTTTTGCCTCCAAACCAGAGTATCACCATGTGACATCCCTGAAGCAATGATCTCCCTTCCATGTGATCTCATTGCATCGGGGACGTTGCACGGGGATGTTGCTGTTTGTGGGTGGGTGTCAGAACCCACAGCCAACAATGGAGTACACGCTTTCAGGAAAGGTTATACTTTTATTGAAGAGCTATAGATGCATTAACATATTCACTGTTAAGAATGGCGTTTGTCCCGAGGGCATAATAAGATATAGGGCATTCGTATGCAAACCCCCCCCCCCACGGCGTTGACCAATTAGGCACCCTCCCATGCGCGGGCTAAAGCCAGCAAACTGTTACTAAGCAAAGCTGGGAACTGTCCGCTTCCCACACCTGCCTGGAAAGGCAGACAACACAACTCCTCTCCACCTGCGCGTCGGTATAGATAAGCATTGCAGCTCTACCCACAGAAAGGAATGCGAAAGCAATTTACACAGAGTCTGACTGAGAAGCATAGCTGACAGTAGGGTCTCCCTCACTGGCCAGCTGGCTGGTGGTGAGAAGAAGACCCCAAAACCAGGGGATTCCCCACCCAGACCTGGGGAATGGCAACCCTAACCCAGAGCAAGGGTTGCTAATAGTTTATACTCCACCCAAAGCAAGGGTTGCCAACTGGAGGCTGGCAACCAGGGGGAGACTGTGTGGTAGGGGCCCTTGCCAGCAAAGCAGTGATTTCACTTTTGGCACATGCACCCAGAACTCTATAGTTTGACCATACAGTTAATGTCACAGCATCACTGGCACGGGCCTCCACCATGCATACAGTAAGTGTTCCAGTCCTTCCCACATTTCCCTAAGAATTTCAGCCCACCTCCCAGTTGAGTGGCAGTGGTCAAAGCTAGGGGGGGAAGGGAGTGGGAAACCTGGTGCCCCTATCTAGGGCCCACATGGACCCACATCCAGCCGGCAGACACTCTTCCTATTCTTTGACTCTGTAGGAAGTTTAGTTCCGGACACTCTTTCTCCTTGGCCTGCCTGTTCATAATACGCTGTTATTTACATTAATTATCTCTTCCACAATTCTCAGCCCCCAGCTTTTACCGAACCTTTGGGCTCTCTCCCGCCTAGGGAGATTTGGGGGCATGCCTGGGGAGAGTGGAGTTTGAGGAGGACATTCAACAGGGATATGATGCCATAGAGTTCACCCTCCGAAGCTTCTGTTTCTTCTGGGGGAACTAAACTCTGTAGTTAGGAAATCACTTGCAGTTCTAAGAGAACTCTATGTAGCTCTCACGGCTGCTGTGAATGCAGAGCCATTTTCAGTGGCCACAGAGCATCCACAAAGCAGTTTTGCCCTCACTTTCCTTGTCTCAGCCTCCTAGGGCTGCCGTTTTCTATTCTGCCACCAAAGGGCTTTTTCGGTAATTGACAGATTGGTACCGTGCAATATTGTTGTAACAATCTAATGCAACAATTACTAGCTCCCAGCTATCTTTTTAAGGTAACTCTGTAGCCCTTTTTATTGCAAAATTATAAGGGGAAATGTGCAATCCGCACCTTGCTGTTTATAAATCATCAATGCAATGGGTAGAGGCCAACTTTTAATTTTAAAAACGGAAGCTGAGAACTAGCAGATCATGGCAATCGGTCATTATAACATCATTGCATTACTGAGTTCTAACAATGATAGATTTTTAACAATCACAAATAGCAGCCATGAAGGCTGAGGTGAGGAAAATGGCACTGATGTTGTGGGACCTGAATCCAAGTGTGCACCCCAAGGTTCGGTGGCTGTGATCTTTCCAAAGAGATTGTGTCAAACCAGGTTTGGGAAAGATTGCAGCAAAACAAGGGAAGACATGGAAACAGGATGAACAGAGGATGGCATCATGTGGATGATCTTGAAATCAGGGCTGCTGTAAGGAAGCCAGGGCAGAGCCAAGTATCCATGTGGAAACAGCCCAACAGTATATTACTATTACTGTTAGTCTTGTTTATAAATAGCACACAAGATGGCATACTAGACCTTTCCAGAAGCCTACCAAGCATGCATAATTGGAACGAGCATTAACTAAGATCCTCCTGGTGCCTATGGTCGCCATCAATGCTCCCTCTAATCTGTTTTGTGAGCAAAAATTCTACTTTGTGAGCTACTGGCCTTAAAGTTGTGAGTGAGCGATTTGGCTGCTGCATAAATTAGTTTGCTCCGGAGCCATCCTTCCTGAGCTAAGACAAAAATGTGTGAGCCAGAGGCTAAAAAACTGTGAGCTAGCTCACACTAACTCAGCTTAGAGGGAACACTGGTTGCCATGTTGTGTGAACAGGGGCAATGCACCTATTTAACATGCATGTACAATCTTTGTGCACTTGAACAGGAATCCTGAAAAATCTAATGGTAATTCCACATACACTGAGGCTGTAGATGCAAAGCAAATATGCATATTGTCCCAGTTCACACAACATGGCAACTGTGCCTGTTGGGAGGATTGCAAATACTGCCTGCTCTCATTATGTGCAATCAGTAGACTCCAGGTATACGTGACTATAAAAGGACAAATCTGTACATATAAAAAGTGTCTACATTTTCAAAATCCACGTGTTGCCTATATTACAAAAATAGGTCAGATCTTGGGCCATTTTCCTTGCTCGTAGCAGTCATCCAATCTGTACGTGCTTTTGGCCTGATAGATCTAAGATGCAGAACCATCCCGGAAGCCTGAGATTAATTTCAGCTTCTATGGGTGTTTTGGAAGATTTTGAGATCAGTGGTTGTGTGATTCAGCAAGTGGGGGGGGGAGTGCTCCCATCCTGGCTCAGCATTCCACGTTAAATGTGGAGTTTTTGTTTGAAATGGTGCAATTCCTTTTATTCTTTCTCCTTCCAGTTGAACAGGTGGTTTTTAACCACAAAAAGATGTTCATGTTCCCACACCAAGGAGAGAGAGAAGAAATACCTACGCATCTCTTTGGGCAGAAGCGTAAGTATTTGCCGTTCACCATTATTAACTGCTTAACTGAGAATTTGAATTTTCTAACCTTTCCTGGCTAATCATTTTCAATACAAATTGTTAGCATGCAGTGTTTTGTATTACAAATCAAATTAATTAGGCGGCACCATTAATTCTGAGATTAATTATCAGCCTTTACCCTCTGTAAAATCTCCAGCTGAAAAGGCTGTTTCCCAAATAAAGCCATGAAATGAAGATATGTAAAGCAACGGACCCTTGACCTGGATAGCCCAGACTAGCCCAATATAATCAGATCTTGGAAGCCAAGCAGGGTTGGCCACCAAGGAATACCAGGGTTGCTACACAGAGGCAGGCAATGCCAAACCACCTCTCAATGTCTATTGCCTTGAAAACCCCAAGGGGTCGCCATAAGTCTGCTGTAACTTGACAGTACTTTTCACCACCAAACTAATGGAGGAGCTGCCTTACTGAACAACACAGCAGTATAGACAGCAAGCGGTGGCTCAAGTGGTTAAGATGCTGAACTGCAGGCTGTGGAAGGTCAGTAGTTCAGCAGTTCGAGACCTGAGTGTGCCGCATGACGGAGTGAGCTCCCATCTCTAGTTCCAGCTCCTGACAACCTAGCAGTTCGAAAGCAAGAAACTGCTAGTAGATAAATAGGTACCATTTCAGTGGGAAGGTAACAGCGTTCCGTGCGCCTTGGTGTTTAGTCATGTCGGCCACATGACCACGGAAACGTCTTCGGACAGCGCTGGCTCTTCGGCTTTGAAACAGAGATGAGCACCGCAACCCTAGAGTCGGATTCGACTGGCTTTCGAGCAAGGGAACCTTTACCTTTACCTATAGACAGCAAACAAAATGTTTAGGAATTGTTTCCATGTATCCATAGATGCTATTTATGTACAGTAGCAGGATTCCTCAATACTTTAAGTCAGAGCTCTCTACTGATGAACCACTGGCCTTTGTTGGGCTATGGAGTGTCTGCTGGTTGCTGGGATTCTGGCAAAGAAGGCTTTCCACACAGAGGTCTTCTTTGCCCTGCCTCCAAAACAGCAGCAGTTCTTTTGGAGACTTCTGCATGACGCCATCTCGTGGCGCTGTTGCTCCCTTCTTGGCCAGGCTGAACTGCTAGGAATCTTGGGTACAGCCAGCCCACTTTGACATTTATTTATTTACACAGATTTTATGCTGCTTCTCCAGCAACCTGCTTGAAGCACGTTATAATTAACATAAAACAAAGCCATTAAAGCCAATGTCATTAAAGTAAGCCACTGCAAGAAAAAAAAAACACATAAGAACATAAGAACATAAGAGATGCCAATGTTGGATCAGGCCAAAGGCCCATCCAGTATAACACTCTGTATCACACAGTGGCCAAAAATACCAGGTGACATCAGGAGGTCCACCAGTGGGGCCAGGACATTAGAAGCCCTGCCACTGTTGACCCCCCCCCCCCAAGAAGCAAGAAGACAGAGCATCACTTGCCCCAGAGTCCCTATCTATACCTTGTGGCTAACAGCCACTGATGGACCTTTGCTCCGTATGCTTATCTAATTCCCTTTTGAAGCCGTCCATGCTTGTAGCCGCCACCACCTCCTGTGGCAGTGAATTCCATGTATTAATCATTCTTTGGGTGAAGAAGTACTTCCTTTTATCCATTCTAACCTGACCGCTCAGCAATTTCATTGAGTGCCCACAAGTCTGTCAGGTGCAGCAGCAGTTGCAGGGTGCTTAAATCCACGAGGGAGTTACTGCCCCAGCAGTCTACAGAGAGGTCCTTCAGTGGAGAGAAAAAAAGTATGCATGTCTCACTTCATTTTTTACACTACAATCTTCTCCATTAGAATTCCTACAACTAATGTTACATTTCAACCTTACATCATCAGTATTATAACTGGATTTACGGAAGTTAAATACCGTAGCGAAGCACGGGTAGCAGGCTAGTCAGCTATAATAGAGAAAAGGGGTAGTTGTAACATTCAGCAGGTCAATGCAGAGATAACTGATGTCTTTATGCTGCTGCTCATAAAACTGTAATAACAGCATGGGCTACATGTACATAACACCAAGCACCCAACACTTGGTCTGAACACTTCAGCAAGAGCTTCAATCTACAATTACTTAATGATCTAAACAGTCTAGGAATAATATTTACATTTAATCTATAGTGACACTGCAATTTCCCCTTCTCCAGGTAATCCTTCCTTGGGACAAAAGCAGATTGTTTTTCTTCCTCCTCTGCCTGTTTCCAAAGATGGTGCCAGCCATACAGTATCCTAAAACCTTGCCCTGTGATGTGAGTTTCAATGTCTCGGAAGATCTTCTGATAGTGGACTGCAGAGACCGCCGTCTTGTCACATTCCCAGAGGGTATCCCTGCCAACACTACCAACCTGACGCTTTCCATCAATCACATTGAGGACATTAAGCCAGCTAACTTTGAGCACCTTGAGAACCTGGTGGAGGTTGACTTCAGGTGCAATTGTATGCCGTTCACAATGGGGCCCAAGGATCATATCTGCACCAAGAGTCTGAATGTCCAACACGGGACTTTTGAAAAACTCACCCATTTGAAATCACTGTACTTGGATGGAAACCAGCTCTCAGAAGTCCCCCGGGGCCTACCACAAAATTTAAGTCTACTGAGTCTTGAAGCGAACCACATCATTGCCATCAGCAAAGAAAGTCTGAAAGAACTTGGGAACATAGAAATTCTCCTTCTTGGGAAGAACTGTTATTACCGCAATAGTTGCAATGTAACTTTTCAAATTGACAACACTGCTTTCCAGGCCCTGAAAAAATTAACAGTGCTGTCCTTAAAAGCCAATAACTTAAGCAGTATCCCACAGAACCTGCCACACAGTTTAAAGAAACTGTACATTCATGATAATCAGATTCAAAATGTCAGTCAGCATGACCTAAACTATCTTCATAACTTGGAGGTTCTTGACTTAAGTGGCAACTGCCCTCGCTGCCACAACGCTCCATACCCTTGTGAACCATGCGCCAATAACAAAAGTCTTCTCATCAGTCCCACAGCTTTTGCCTCGTTGAAGCAATTAAAATTTCTGCGGCTACACAGCACTTCTCTTCACCATGTGAATCCTAAGTGGTTTGAAAATACTAGAAATCTAGAACGACTTGATCTTTCACAAAATTATTTGGCTAAAGAAATTGAAGAGGCCAAGTTTCTGAATTTCCTTCCTAATCTCCTAGATCTAGATTTATCTTTCAATTATGAACTGCAAGAATACCCTACATATTTGAATCTGCCACGCACATTTTCTAATCTTACTAAGCTTAAATACTTGAGACTAAGGGGTTATGTTTTCAAAACACTGAACCTGGACACTGTGCAATATTTGAGAAATCTCATTAATCTTACTGAGCTGGACTTTGGAACTAATTTTATTAGAAATGCTGACTTTAATATGTTTAAAGACTTCCCAGCTCTTCAAATCATAAACCTTTCCTTCAATAAAATATCTCCCTCTTCAGAAGGATTCAGTGAGGTTCCGTTTTACTCTAGTCATGTGCCTTTATTTGGTCAATACAAGGAGATGCATTATTTTGTATATGATGAATATAGTCGTAGCTGCAGCTCTAAAGACCGAGAGATGTCTCCTTCCTTGCCACATGGCACTGAACCTTCTTGTACTCAATATGGCAAAACACTGGATTTAAGCAGAAATAACATGTTTTTTATTAATCCCTCTGATTTCCAGAACTTTGCTTCTATTAAGTGTCTTAACTTGTCGGGCAACGCCATGAGTCAAACCTTACATGGAAAAGAATTCCGCTCTTTGTCTGGCTTGAAGTACCTGGATTTCTCAAACAATCGAATTGATTTGCTATATTCAAATGCCTTTCAAGAGCTGAAAGAACTAGAAATCCTAGACCTTAGTGATAACAAGTACTATTTTCAGGCGGAAGGTGTCACTCACATGTTGAATTTTACCAGTAATTTGACTTCTTTGAAAAAGTTGATCCTGAATGGGAATGAGATTTTTACTTCTGAGGACAAAGGGATGAAAAGCAGTTCCATCCAAGAACTGGAATTTAGAAAGAATCGTTTGGACATCTTGTGGAAGGCTGGAACTAAAAAATACCTCTCATTCTTCAAGGAGCTGAAGTGTCTGAAGAATCTTGACATCTCTGACAACTCCCTGAGTTATTTACCTGATGAAGTATTTGATGGCCTGCCTGAACAGCTCCAGCAGCTCAATCTGAGCAATAATAAATTGAAGACATTTACATGGTGGAAATTTAAAGTTCTGAAGAACCTGACAATCCTGGATCTTAGGAACAACCTGTTGACTACTGTCCCCAGTGAGCTATCCAACTGCTCTGGAGCTCTTCAAAACCTCACCCTGCAACACAACAGGATCAAAAGGCTGGCCGAAAATTTTCTCCGAGGTGCTTTCCAGCTGAGATATTTGGACCTCAGTTTTAATAAGATCAGAACAATCAGGAACTCCAGCTTCCCACCAAATGTGATCAACAAACTAAACATACTACTTCTAAATGGCAATCCTTTCAAATGTGATTGTGATATTGTGTGGCTGGCTTGGTGGATGAACAGAACTAAAGTGACTATTCCACGGCTGGCAACAGATGTGACTTGTACAGGCCCAGGTGCATGGAAAGGTAAAGGTGTGGTTTTATTAAATTTGGATACCTGTGAACTGGACTACTCCCAAATCCTGTACTGTGCATCAGCCTCCATAATTATGTCTCTGATGATGTTCACACTTACCAGCCACCTTTATTTCTGGGATGTGTGGTATATCTACCATTTCTGCACAGCCAAGCTAAAAGGATATAAGCGATTATCCTCAAAAGTTTGGTATGATGCTTTTGTTGCTTATGATATAAAAGATGCAGCTGTAAATGAATGGGTCCTGAAAGAATTGGTTGAAAAACTAGAAAATGAGGAAGAGAAACAATTCAATTTGTGCTTGGAAGAAAGAGACTGGCTACCAGGACAGCCAGTTTTGGATAACCTTTCTGAGAGCATAGAAATGAGCAGAAAAACTATATTTGTGCTGACAAACAGGTACATTGCTTGTGGCAACTTCAGAACAGCCTTTTACCTGGCACACCAACGGCTCATGGATGAAAAGGTAGATGTAATCATCTTGATATTTCTTGAAAAGGTTTTACAAAAGTCAAAATATCTCCGTCTCCGGAAGCGACTGTGTAGTAGGTCTGTACTTGAATGGCCTACCAATCCTCAGTCTCAGTGTTATTTCTGGCATTGCCTGAAAAATGCATTAGCAGTAAACAATGATGTGAGCTATAACATTTTGTTTAAAGAAATAGTATAGTTTGGTCATGTTCTAAGAAATCCTTTGCAGATTAAGCCATGTTGAGGGAATGGATTGAGGCTGAGTCTCACTTTTTGCATGCATGAAATTTTGAGAAAGCCCTCAGTTCAAATTGCAACTCTGTAATGGACTCACTACATAACCTCAGGCATGCCACACACTCTTTTAGCCTCTTTATCTGCAAAATGGATACAATAATACTGGCCTACCTTACAGGGTTGTTGTGAGGCTTTCAAGATATGCAAAGTGCTTTGAATGCTCAAAATCGCTGTATAAATGCCACGTATTATGACCATTAAAGCAAGCGTGGCAGGTAGCATTCAAAAGTAGTCTCTCGTAAGTGACTAGGCACACTTGCAGAACAGACATTCTGGCTTATTTGAGGCAAATGCTGCTGAAGGACGACCAGTTTGTCAATGAAATTTTCCACATAAAATGTCCAAGGGTTTGGACAGATCTTTGTGAGCTGTCAAAACTCTGAGTTGGGAAAGAGAAAAAGGAGAGGAGAGGCTATACCATCAACCTTTTGTAGCCACGATTATAACCTTTCCTGTGTACCTATGTCCTTCTCATGTCCCCCTAAGAAGGTGAAAGGGGGCTACTTCTTTGCAGCCATGTATTATGTGAATAAATAGCATGAGTACAGCCGTCTCTGGTTCAGCTCGCCTCTCTTTTAGGAACCTACGTTTTACCTCAGCTATGAACTCACTAGGTGGAAATAGGCAAGTTACTCAGTCTCAGCCTCAGCCTACTTCTTCTTAAATAATTTGGGTGTAATTATACTTCTTCATTTTGTTGTGAGGATTATTTAGAGGATATATACCTGTATATATATGGTTGCCAAAAGAACAATGTTCAAGTCCAGTGGCACCTTTAAGGCCAACACAATTTGCCAAGTGGCTGTCAATCACTAGTGACATTTGGAGCTGGAAGAAGACTCACTAGCAGAAACGGGGAAGATCTTGATCTGAATAAAAGCACCAACTCTAGTTCTCAGTGGGAGTGAGCTTTTAGTGGAATTGAACCTGGATGAAAAACAGATTTGTTTTTCTCTTTTTCATGGAAGAACTCAGTAGTGCCTCCAGGTGGCTATTTTTTTCCTTCTCTGTCTGTCCCCTCATTGCTTCTACTTGTGGAAATATGAGCTTATTATAGAATGAAAAGGGCACTTGCTATATGTTGAAATTACTGGTGTTTTCAGGTTTTAAATAAATTGTACCTCTAGAATGTGTTCCCCTCCTCATGCTGAGGACAGAAGAATGGTGTTATGATTTCTAGACATAGATAAGTATGAAATTATTGGATGGTTATACAGACACTTAGTCTGTTTCTTTTTCTTTTTAATAGGCCACCTCTTTTTGAAAAAAATGCTTTCCTGAAGTGCATTCAGTCATCTTACTTTTCAGTTTCATCTCAAGTCTGGCCCAAATGTACTTTAGCGGATTGGTCTTAGTAGAATGCAATACATATTTGCATTGAAGTAATTATCAGTAAGGGAGCTGCAGTGGCTCAGTGGTTAAGATGCTGAACTGCAGACCGAAAGGTGGGTAGTTCAGCATTTCAAGACCCAAGTGCCACGTGATGGAGTGAGCTCCCGTCTCTGGCCCCAGCTCCTGCCAACCTAGCAGTTCGAAAGCAAGAAATTGCAAGTAGATAAACAGGTACTGCTTTGGTGGGAAGGTAACAGCATTCCATGTGCCTCAGCGTCTAGTCATGTCAGTCACATGACCACAGAAATGTCTTCGGACAGCGCTGGCTCCTCAGCTTGGAAACGGAGATGAGCACTGCACCCTAGAGTCTGATTCGACTGGCTTTCGAGCAAGGGAAACCTTTACCTTAAATATCAATAAGTTCAGTGGGGCTAACTCCTAGTAGGGTTGCCAACTCCCACTTTGGAAATTCCTGGAGATTTGGGGGCGGTGCCTGGGGAAGGCTGAGTTTGGAGGGAGGGAGCTAAGTGGGGTTGTGATGCCATAGTGGCCTTCCGCCAAAGCTGCCATTTTCTTCAGGGGAACTGATCTTTGTGGTCTGGAGGTTAGTTGTAATTCCAGAAGAACTCAAGGCCCCACCTGGAAGTTGGCAACCCTAGGTGTGTATGTAAGATTGCTAGTTTAAGAACACTTCTATGTCAGATTGTGGCTACTGTTTTAGATAAAACAACCTCTAAGTTAGGACATGAGTCAGTCTGTAGAAACTGTATTTATAGATTTACACTTTCAAAGATTTTCCTATTATTTGTAGTACTGGTTAAGACAGCAAGATTACATTGTACTAGATTCTGCAGCTGTTTAATGGCAAGAAAGGAAAGGGTTAAAGGAAATCCATAATTCTTCCTTTGGGGAAAGCACACTGGAGACTGTTCAGTCTGCAAATGACGAAACAAAGCCAGAAGACTACAGAAGAGCCAAAACCCAAGTTCATTCCATTTGTAGGGAGATCTGTCTTCAGTTCTTAATTTACTGTTTGTTCTCGAGAGACACATGTGCTGTTGGTTATGTTAACCATTCATCAGAAACGGGAATAATAATGATTAATAATAGTATACAGTATATCTAGAACATGAGAGAGTTAAATCAAAAATCTCCCTGAAATACTAGTATCTAGTACATTTTGCTTCCCTGTTTGGGTTCTTACAGTTGATGATATAGTTCGGAAGTAATGACTGACCATGACTGGTCACTATCGAAACAGGCCTAGTGAATCCTCCCTTTCCCCTCATGCCCAGTAAGAAAATTAAACTTTTGTGACGGAGCATTAGTTTATCATAGGGTCTGAGCCACAAGCTAATAAATTATCTTCCCTCCAACCCAGGATTAAACTGTGGTTTGGAAAGAAAACAAACCATAATTTGTGACACAAGAAAAAAATGACCAACTATGGGTTGTCAGAAAGCAAAAACGTTTTGTTTTCAAGATGAGTGTGAGGGGAGAAAAGAAAAGGAGGAGGGGTGAGTCCAAGTTCAAGGATCTTCAGTTCATTAATATAACACTGAGCTATGGTTTGTCATCGCGTGTGAATCAAGATTCTCTCTAAAGCAGAAAACTGCAATCAAACTTTCATCAAGATGAATCCTCATTACCTATAACGGGATGAAACTAGCATTGCATAAGAATTCATGCAAACCCACCAAGTCACTGCTTTCTTTGCCTTTCCAGTGGCCAGCAGTGATCTTGTGAGATTTTGCAAGGTCTTGGTCAGCATTTTCCATGTTGAGGAGATTTAAAATATCTTCCCATTTAAAAAAAAAAAGGTTTGGACTGACTTCTGGTTTTGGCGACTTGCTGGCATGTGCGCTCCATCGTGCTCCAATGAGAGCGGCCCACAACTGTGGCAGACGGGAGGGGTCCCGGATGATTATGCCCCCCCCTTGAGGCCTCTGTGCTGACTGGGCAGACAGAATGCCATGGCAAGCAGTGTGTGACCGAGTGGCTGTGCCCAGTGGTGCCACTTTCCACACAGGCACACCCCCTCCATTCAGGAGGTCCGACACTTACAGGAAGTGCTCGCTCCTGGCAGAGTGGTGTTCTCAGGAGGCGGACTGGATCCTGGCTTGGGTGTGGTTTTCTGGCTCGTGGTCTGGCCTGAGAGACAGAGACAGGAGTAGGACACAAGTGTCAGACGCTACCTTTGACCTGGAGGCCTGAGCTACAGGAAGTTGGCTGACCTGATATGACAATATCCAACCTTCCTTTTCCTTTCCTATCTGTACCTGACTCTGTTGTGAGGGGGGTTTGTTTTGTTTTGCTTTTAATTTACATGCTACAGGTCAAGTTCAGAATTAGATACTAGATGCTGCCTCTAACATATGGATAAATTGGTCCCAATGTACCCCACCATATTGTACTTTTCACAATGCACAATCCTGCCCAACACGATGAAGTCCACACAGAATTATAAACTTTCCATCCTAACACTTTGTCTGATGCATAACAGCTCTCTCTTCTGTTCTGCCATGAGGCTGTCACTTTCTGCTTTACCAAGTCCAGAAGCATGTATGTCTGTGGTCACATGTGAGTGTCACTGGATCACAACAGGTACATTTTTTAATATCTGTAAATTACAAAGACAGGAATAACTCATTCAAAGCTGAACACTAACTTTCTCTTAAGCTATGAATTAATTACCTCCTAAATGTCCTATCATTAACAGGTCTTGCTCAGGTCTTGCAAACTGAGAGCCATGGCTCGTTCCATATATTATAACAATATTTGTTGTAACATTTTGAGCATCACTTTACTTGTGTGAAAAATTAATGCAATGGTCCAATAGTTGCTGCAGTCTTTAACGTCTCCTTTTTTCAGAATTGGGAAGGTAGATTGTTTCCACTCTGTGGGGCTTAAAACTGTAGGACTGTGTAAAAAGAAGTCAGGTGTGACAGGCACTGTAATAAGGAAGGCAACCAGGAGGGCTGGAGGAAAATACTATTACTTTTAGGACTGTTTGTAGTATACAAAGTAACACTAATTTTCAAATATGTGTTTACAGCTCCGGGAAATAAGATATACTGCCAATAATTACTGGATATAAGACTAAGAAAGAGTTATACAATCATGTAGGGGTTGTTTCCATTCAATTCACACTGCTTATAATCTATTTGGAGCTGCGGTGGCTCAAGTGGTTAAGACGCTGAACTGCAGGCTGTGGAAGGTCAGTCGTTCAGCAGTTCGAGACCCAGTTGCCGCATGATGGAGTGAGCTCCCATCTCTAGTTCCAGCTCCTGACAACCTAGCAGTTCGAAAGCAAGAAATTGCTAGTAGATAAATAGGTGCCACTTCGGTGGAAAGGTAACAGCATTTCATGCGCCTTGGTGTTTAGTCATGCCGGCCACATGACCACGGAAACGTCTTCGGACAGCGCTGGCTCTTCGGCTTTGAAACGGAGATGAGCACCACAACCCTAGAGTCGGATTCGACTGGCTTTCGAGCAAGGGAACCTTTACCTTTTTATAATCTATTTACTTTAAAGCTATCTTAAAAAAATGTGCATCCTCTTTCTTGCTA